TGAAGAGTAAAAGCCTGGCCCGGCCCAGCCCATGAACAGGTCTATTGATCAATAACAGGCGGGCCCATTTGGCTACCCATTCCATGAACAGATATAATAGATATAATAAAGAGCACAATACCATTCCATTTTTGACACATACATAAAAAATTCCTATATACCCTCTTAGAAGTTCTGGTTTGAAGCTTCCATAGATCATAGAAGTGGACTTCAATCCAAAGAATAAATAGAAAATGAAATGTGAAAACAAGAAAAGTGAAGTAATATCACATAGAATCAGAAACCCTATGTGAATACCGTGTGCTTTATGAAGCATATATAGAGAGAAATATGACTTTGTTCTATATTGTCGTTTCGACAATCAATACTTCTTTCAAACCAGGTGTGGGACCTTGGTTCTTTTGTTTTAAGAAGTGACAACAAGAAAAACAATTCATATTGGAAAACACCTCGAATAGCAATACTCTAGTGGTCAGGGTATAAATGTGGGGAAAAGGGCAGAACACCTGGTCCTTTAGTCTTCATCTTTTTCTTGCAAATCCGTGGTGTATGACACTGATCGTTCCAGGCCTCAATTCTGACTTATCCAACCTTAATCATGGAGGCCCACTAGCCCCGCACTAATGGGCCAGCTGCTATCTTATTGATGATCTGGATCTATACATGCTTGCAACAATTGGATTGCAAAGGAATCCCACAAAGGCACAAACAATGAGTTGAAATCTAAGAAGCTTGATTCATTGATCATAAGTTCATAACTCAGAAATTAGAATACATCCTGTTGTGTTGTATAACATTTGAATGAAAATCAGGAATATCAAGATTAAGCTACATGGTGGATCCACCTTGTCCACCAACAGAAGATTAGACTCTATTTGTTTGAAGTACAAATCTAACCAAATACAAATTTTGTACCCGGTTCAGGTTTATATCCGTTTTGTAATTATAATTTGCATTCTTATCTTACTTCATGCCTCATTTGCACCCACTGGCAATGCAAATTTTGCATCTCAAAAATCGATACAATTTTTGCACAACATTCTTCCTACCTCAATTATCTCTCATATAAAATGAGGACTACATTTCATTTCCTATTTTAATTACTTCTTACAAACAAGTAAGACAATCAAATATGAGACAAAAGTAAACCAGAATTTACACATTCTACTTGCACTCCAAGCATTTAAAATTCGCACTAACAATGGGCAGAAAACTGTAATGAGAACCACCAATATTATTTACACATTATAAATTCATATACTATTTGGCTGATGTGGCCGTTGCAACCGTAAGAAATTTCTTTTCCTTGGTATTCCAAATATGACTTTGGCCACCATACGGGTGCAACTCGGGTGGCCCCATCTAGCATTTTAGATTTTATACTCCTTCCAGATGGGCCTTCATGCTCGGCCCATTCAAAATTTGACAAAAGTCCAACTTGAGCCCGCCCAAATTGCACCCTTAACAATGGCAAAAAAAAAAAAAAAAAAAAAGCTGTATGCTAGTCCTAATTTATAGTGGGTTAATGACAAGGCTCTTTCGGGGCCCATTGATATCACATGATTCACATCACAGCACCACGTTATATGGTCACCATCGCAAAAATGAGTATAAATTAAAAAGCTTCAACGGGAGATTGGCTAATTGGGTTTAAAAATAATAATAATAATAATAATTTCTATCACATGAAACATTGCCTATTAGTATATAGTACTGCATACTTGTTTTCGGCATCATTCGGTAGTTTCATCATCAATCAGCTTGCTATTAGGTAATACTGATACAATATAGTTTGTTGAGTTCCACGTTGAAGGAACAACTATAGAGTGGAAAAAAAGACAACGAGGTTGTACGAGGCCTATCAACTAAATGGGCTGGATTGGGCCAAAGTTGGTAAGTGCATCCTGGATGATTACGGGGCCAACATGGGCAAGACGAGGGCTTTAAAGAAAATATGAGGGTAGGTTTCGGGCCATGCCCATGTACCGATCGTTATACGGTTCACTTTTTAGGGAAATATTTAGGACCGTTTGGGATGGCTTCTGCACTGATTGATCCATGTTTACTGAACCAACCACTTTGGGGAAGCTACTGAAGATAATATTACGGGAAAGTAGGGCTGCAACGTGGGCAGGTCCAATCCGAGTTTAAAATAATTAAAAATAAATTTAAATGTTTGTAATAAATGTGTATATGCAATGTACATGAACATTTTAAATTATAATAACAATTATCATTACTATTATTACAATTATTATTATTATTATTATTATTATTATTATTATTATTATTATTATTATTATTATTATTATTATTATTATTATTATTATTATTATTATTATTATTATTATTATTATTATTATTATTATTATTGTAATAAAATACAAAACTCTCCTGAAATTTCTGACAATAATAAAAACCTCCACTATGCTTTCATTTAAACAAATATTTTCCCTCACTTATGAAAATTTTGAGAAAAACCTCCCTTCTGTCATAAATTTATAAAGTTACCCCTAATTAATGATTAGAGGGAATCGTTCTATATTTGTTAAAGTGAAGTAAAATTTCATCCGTCTAAGGAACATTAACGAGAGGTTCCACACAGGTTCTCCATAGTTCCACGTTGAGATCACCTCCTCCCAAGCTTATCAAGTACATCTCTTCATTAAGTTTTCGTAGTACTCTTAACAACTGAAGATGAAGCGAGAGCTTCTGCTATGGAGCCCTTTCGCTCTTTGCGTTCTTTCCCCTCTCTATTATTTCCTCCTACCTCCATTCGCATTCAAAGAATAAAATGGTGTGTGGTGGCATCTAGAAATCTCGAGTTCAGTAAAGGTGGACAGTTGACGGCAAGAGAGAGGAGGCAGTTGAGGAACAAGCCACCAATTGGAGTGAAGAGGTCGAGGAGAGGCTGTTGAAGAAGCCCAAGAAGAGCTCAACCTCGAAAACCTCGCCCCCTTGGGTCCTCAATGGTGGGTTGTTTGGGTTTCCAGGGTTAATAGGTCAAGAGGTTGTGGAAATACTAGCTCGCTCCCTCGCCAGAAATTTTATGGACATTGATTTCAAGGTATATGCTCCTTTAGTCAAGGTAAAAAGGAATTTAAAGAATGTCTCTTACTCGATCAAGCCAAAGCCCCTCTGGTGGCTTTGTTAGATTAAAAAATCCTAACTACAATCAGCAAACAGCACCATTTTATTTTACCGGAAAGCTACTGAAATTCATCGTAGAACTTAGAAAACAGACAATTCACCAATCTTCAGACATTCAGTCAAGAAATTATTGCACTTTTGAAGCTATCTCTCCACACCATTAAACCAGCTGTTGACGTAAAACCACTACTCAACCAATCAATCGGAGCTAAGCTAAAAGGTTGCTTAATCGTACGACAATCTACCCCATCTATATACACAAGATCGAGCAACAAATTTTTACACCAAAGAATCACAGGCTCTTGGTTGTGAAATTCCTCCAATCAAGAGTAACAACCGGGATCCAGACCAATAAATCTACTCCTGTGGTTATAAAACTGCTTATCTGTTTGTGTTTTTCCTGCCCCCAAAAAAATTAATGTTGTGAGTTTGATTAGTATAATTTAATGATGAAAAAATATATCTTAAATATAGGATTTAATGAGAGAAAATAGGAAAATAGTTTTATTTCCAATTAGTTTTGAATGTTATATTCCATTTCTATAATTAATAAAATATTTATTATTTATCATACTTATTAGTGTTTAATATGTCAATTATATTATTTTAAAAATGTTTCCAATTTTTTAATTTCTATATTTTTGCATTTTATCTAATTTTGAATTTTATTATTTAATTGTGGCAATATGGATTGACCCATTTGACCCAAAATGATTTAATTTCTTACCACCACCTTGATGAAAACACTATTTTTAAGTAGATTTTAAAAGTATAGGTTTTTATTTTATTAGAATTATTAATTTATTATTCATGGATTTAATTAATAGAATTTAATGATGAGAATAAACAAAAAATGCCTTAAATATATTATTCAATGAAGGTAAATGCAAGTAAATACCTTAAATGTTGGATTTAATGGAATTCGGATTTTGACTGAACGCTTTAGCTGTTCAACGGGTTGTGGAACCAGTGGGAGGGAATTGAATGCATTGAATATCTTCAAACTACCTCTTTTCTACTCATTTAATATCAATAACTGATTAACCTATTTGCCCTTATTTTTTATCAAAAAATTTAAATATGGAGGGATAAATTTTGTATACATATTTGCATAAATGGATACATACTTGTATAATTTTAGAGTGGATTCATTGACCAACACGAACCCAGCCCAGGCCCAAGCTGAACCTGAGTAAATCAAATTACAACATGGGATGGACTCGGGTTGGGAAGATTGGGCTTGACCTCAGGCTCAGTCCAGACTCAGAACTTAAACCCAAATTTTAGGGTTGAGCCTGGATTGACCATAAACCCAGCCCAACCCGCCCGACTTGCACCCATATAGGAAAGTCAATTATTTGGCTCATGTATGCCTATTTTCAACCTTTTTCGGTTTTTTATCAAACATGACTTGAGGCTCAGTTTGCAAAGAGTACAAATGCAAATATGTACACTATAAATACATACAAAATAATACAAAATATAAGGTTTTGCACTGTATATATTTGTATCTGTACTCCTTCCAAACTCAGCCTAAAGGTTTTCCGAATTTCTTAGCTCATGTAACGCCTGTGGACCAAGACTGGGCCTAATAATTTTTGGCCCATTTGTTATAAAAAAGTAGGATCTAGTTTTATAACAGTAACCTTGCATCGCCTTGAATTCACAGCCCTAAAGAACAACAATAATGGAAGTGAGAGGATTTTCTCTCAGCTACTACAATTATTGTTTGCTCACCACTATCAATTTGTCAGGAATCAATTTATTATTACTATATAAAACTCAACAGTGAAAATAAATTATTCAAGAGGAAAAGGGGTTCTTGGCATTTTGTTTCAAGGATTATGGACTTGTCACTCGGATCATGGAACCATATTTTAGATTTCTCCGGATAAAACTCATAGTGGGCATACAAAGAAGCAAATTCCAGGTCCAATCTCACAACCAGAAACCAGTGACAATGAGTCATTCCAGAAAGAAGCTAAAATTATTCCTTCCACATCACTGTAGACTTATGGTATTGGAAAAGCATAAGCAAAAACGCAGTAAGTTTCTCAGTTTGGAGGGAAGAAGATGGCATCTGCTGTCCTTTTCGACCTGAAGAGATTCTCCACATCTGGAGCCACATTGAAAGATGCTTGGAGCACTTCGGGAGATAAAGCCTTCCACACTGAGGTCCTCCCTGCCAAATGGCTGAATATAGGACTGCAAAACCAAATTCATCATTACCAAAATCAGCCACAAAGCCAGCACTAAAGACAAACTTAGACTAGAGTTATCAGTTTGTGAAGACATTAGCTGATAATGCAGTAGGCAGTAGCCGTAGCTCAACATGCCTTTTGAAGGAGACAGCCACAAACATCCATCCACCACAACACAACCCAATCCCATCAACAAACCATTTACCAGCAGTGAATGTTCAAATGCTGAACAGAACTTGGGTAGATCAGACCCTCTTGAGCATGTGGCACAGCCTATAATTTTCTCAGTTCAGAGTCTTCAGAGTACAAATGAACCTAGCTAAAAGTAAATTATCAAACAGTCGGGAGTTGGGTGTGTCTCCTTTTACCTCCTATTGGTTTAAAGATAAACCAATGGATTCTGCACTATCCCCTAAATACCAACCATGAAAGAATAGATAAGAAAAAAAGGTCTACCTCAAAGCCTCAAAGAGAACAGGAAAACCAGACATTAATCTATACCTAGATCAATAAAAAACAACTAATTCAGATTCTTCTAGCAATGTAGCTACTTACTTTGGTGTGGTAATGATGGAGAACCACTCCATCCCTTCACCATCATCAATCTTGGAGACCACAAAGAACCTGGGAACTATAAACAGACAACCAGCCTTGACAGTTGATTCGAGTGCACGGCGACCATCAACCCCAACAATCTGAACACGGCCACTTCCCCTGGTAACGTATGTAACCTGAAAGGCGGAGTCACAGGAGAAACCCGGCGAGCACATGGCGCTCTTATCCAACCTAACGAGATCAGCCCCAAGTCCGACCTCTCCAACCAAGGGCAGATTCTTAGTGTTCAAGACTACGACTCGTCCCCCATTCTTGATATCAACATCCAATGGGGCTTCCTCACAGTTCAGAGCCATCCCTTTCCGGTCCTCCTCCTTGGGGGCCGGCATGCTGGAACCGTCCTTCAGTTTGACGACGCCACTGCCCGATTGGCTCCCGACGAGGGTCTTCACCTTGTTCTCTTCCAAATCCCAAGCCCGGCTGACGAACTCAGTGGAGAACCCAGAAAATATACCATTGGAGCCCGTCAGATAGAAATCGGTGAATTCACCAGCCTTGTGGGCTTTGGAGGTATCACCCAAGAAAAGAACGATAAGCTCGGTGTCTTCATCGTTGTACCACCAGGTGACCACACCGAAAGGGAGAGCAAGCGCATCGCCCTTCTTGATGGAGATCACCTTCTCCTTCTCGGCTTCAGGAAGGACAACACCAGCCCTACCACGGCCTGAGAAACAAAGGACAATATGAAGATCAATATCAGAAGGGACCCATTACAGTTGGGTCATTGTAATGCAACGAGCATCCAAGGAATGACTCACCCATCAATTGAAAGAACCAGATCAATGGAAATGAAGACACCCTTTTCAAAATAATAATAAAAAAAAAAGAGGAGAAGAATGACATATATATTATACCTTGAAGAACATAAGCGACCTTTGCGGAATCAGAATAACGAGGAAGGGCGAAGCCATTCTTCTCGAGGACGAGCTTTGCTGCTCCAATGTTACCTTCACGGAGCATGGGGAGTTCAGAGGGCGACCATGCATGATAAGATCCACCATCACTGCTGTACAACTTCTTGGCTGGCTTGGGAGAGAGATCAATCTCCATTTCTTCTTCTCTTCTTCTTCTTCTATTCAACAAGAGAAACGCGAAGGAAACTACAGAATTGTTGAAGAGAAGGGTTCGTTTGCAATCCAATTTATAGGCAAAGAATTGCAGAATTTAGGACATTTACCCGGGTATTCGCAACCCAAGTCATCAATGAGGAGACGCCATTAGAGCCTGATAATGTGGGACCCTCGATTCAATAATTGATCCATTATTAGGAGAATGAGAAGGATCAAGGGCACGTCGGAGGAGTGAACAGAGTAAGCGTAGGAGATCCGCACTCCATGGATGGAGAGAACAGGTAGTTTAGAAGTTAGAACAGGTGTCTAACTATACATGGCAATACAGCAGAGTATATTCGGACGGCTTGAGTCACATATTTCATGGTTTACACGTTTGATCTTCAGTCATTCTGCGTGGCAGTGAAAGTTCAGGAAATTTTATATAGGGAGAATTTTTATGCCCAAAATACAGTATTGGTACATAGAGTGGGGGTAAAAGTTCAGGGAATTTTATATAGGGAGAATTTTTAGGCTCAAAGTGTGCATAGAGTGGGGAATTTTATATAGGGAATTTTATAAAAGTTCAGAAATCTGTACTGAGTCTGTACGTACTTTTTCGTTTTATATATATTTTTTTATTTTTCAATATTAAAAGAAAATAATATTTGAAATATAAAATAATAATATATATTTATGATTGGGTTGGTTTTATTTTGGTCGATTTACAAATCACCAAATGGAAACTAACCTGATTTGGTCAGGTTGGAAAATTGTTGAATCGAAGTTGACCGATAATACTAGAAAGTAACCAATTTGGGTTGAATTGGATCAGTTTCATTGGTTTGATGTACATTCATAACTGAAATTAATTATTATTTCTTTTATATTATAAAAAATTATTAAAATTAGTATATATAAAATATAAATAATTATTAATTATTTAAAAATTAAATTATAAAACAATTATCTATTTTTATTATTTAACTTTCACTTATTAAAGTCCGTACATCACACGAATTCCTGCTAATTTTTTCTTAAACCCTTCAATAGGTCAGGTATCAATATTATGTCTTCCAGACCTGACTATTTCATGACACAGGATGCCACGCACCAATTCACCACTCCCACCGTCCCACCCTACTTTAGATTGTTATTAGTGGGGCCCTGTGTGATGCACGAGATGGGGTACTCCTTCCAATTCTTCGCCCCCGTAGTCAATACACTTTATTCATCCTTGATGGTGGGGTGGGTTCGAGGTGAAGCATCCATTCCCTGTCGAGGATGGGGAATCCCCAAATTTTCCCCACCCCAAGGTAATTGCTTAAAAATAATCTAATTTATGAATATTTTACAAATAGGATTATGGGATTTGGGGGTATTTTAGGAATTGGATTATGACAATTTGGGGTATTTTATAAATGGAATTGTGGGATCCTGGGATTATAAGAATATGAGGAAAACTTAGAGATACTTTAAAAATCAATATTAAATCTACTAATATTTTATTGATTTACCATCGGGTTTGAGGAATTATATGCAAACCACGTCCCTAATTTGGAGCAAAAATATTTTCCCCGTCCCCACCCTATCTCTTCTCCATCTCTATTTAAAATTCCAAAAAACTTGCCCCATTCAGGGTGGGGCAGGGTAGAGGCCCTAGTTTTACAGGGAAAACTGCCATTCCCACAATTCTAATAATTTTCTATAACTAATTAACTAACAGTAAATTAAATAACAATAAATAAAAATATTTTATGATAATTTCCAAAAAATATTGAAATTGTTGTTAATTAGCAAAAATATATAGTAAATTAGTTATTTACAATAATAATAAATTAATGTGAACAAATGTAAATTATTTACTTTTTAAGACTAAATTATTTACTATTAATCAATGTCATGTAGTTATACTAAATTAATGTAATTATGGTAAATTACATTAATTTTAATTAAAAGTAAATCATTTGTTGTTAATTAATGTAAAACCAAGTATGGTGAAGTCAACCAAGTGGTCTAGACAGGCGTGGATAGATTTAATAATTTTCCTAAATTATTTTATAGTTATTTATTAAAATAATAATAATGGATTGTTATTTAAATAAATATGAAACACTTTCTGATATATTAATTTCCTCATTTAATTTTCCTAAATTTTTTAATAATTATTAGTTGAATAATGATAATGGGCTATTATTTAAATAGTTTTGGAGAATATTTTTTAATTTTTATGTATTTAAAAAATTATGGATTATTAATTAAAGAGTTTTCCTTAATTATTTGATAATTATTAACTATAATTATTGATTTTATAGAATTTAATAAATTACACCAATTAGTAATATCTTTTATGAATAAATAATTGTTGTAAAAATTTAATGAAAATTTATTAAGTTACAATGATTAATGTAAATTATGCTAAACACTAAATATTTGAACATTTATTTAATTAACTAATGGTTAGTCAGTTTCGAGTGACCAACTCCCTAACCTGATCGAATCAGTTTGGCTAGCCAAACAATCTCCAACCGAAATTGCTTAGTGAACACTCCTAAATTCAGCTAAATTAATAGTCTAATCTCTAACAAATAACAATAGTTTAATCTCCAATAATTATTGAAAATTTATAGCAAAAATACACAATTGCTGAAAATATATTTATAATGAAAATACAATAAATAACTAATAAAAAGCTTTAATACCTCTAAGTTAATTAATTTACTTCAACTATTTCAATAATATTTATTTTTTCATTTATTTATATTTTATATTCTTATTAAAGTTACTATAGTATTTTTTATTTAATATAGTTTATATTTTTAAATAATGTTTAAAATATGATTTAGTATTCAATTTTTTTTATATTTAAAATTTATTTAAAATAGTATATAAAACATAAATAATACCTTGTCCCACCCCCGAACGGGGCAAGTTTACTTGAATCTTAAATAGGGATGGCGAAGAGATAGGGTGGGGATGGGGAAAATATTTTTGCTCCAAATCAGGGATGGAGTTTGCTTATAATTTCTCAAAACCGATGGTAATTTAGTAAAATATCAGTAAAATTAATATTGACTTTTAAAATATCTCTAAGTTTTTCCTCATATGTTTATAATCCTAGGATCCCACAATTCTATTTATAAAATATCCCCAAATTGTCATAATCCAATTCCTAAAATACACCAAATTCTCATAATCCTATTTGGAAAATAACGACAAATTAGATTATTTTTAGGTGGTTGCCTCGGGGTGGGAAAAATTTGGGGATTCCCCATCCCCGATGGGGAATGAATGCCTAGCCTCCAACCCGGCCGCCCCACTACTGGGGATGGGGGAGTGTCTTGACTACAGGGCCGAGGGACAGGGAGGGGTGCCACATCCCGTGCATCGCATGAGGCCCCACTAGTTATAATTAATTTTGTGCTTTTGATAACTTATTTAAATTATACCATAATTTTGTTTTTTAATATATTTTTTTGTTTTCATAATAATATATGATATGATTTAGTTATTAATATTTTGATATTTAAAGTATTTAAAAATTAGTTATTTATAATATTATTTAATTATTTAAATAATACCATCATTTAAAATTTTAAAATATTTATTATTTATTAAATTTAATAATCCGTGAAATTATAATTTATACTATTATTACATATTTTCCTTATTTTAACTATTTAAAATTTAGTTATGTTAAATATTTCACTATTTAAACATTTAAATAATATGTAAAATGTTTAATCTTTTTTGTTATTTAAAATTTATTTCTTTAAAGTTATTATGTAATTTTAAATATTTTATTACATAATTATTTAGCTCTTTTTAAAATTTTGGTATTTAAATATTTTTTATTTATGTTTTTTAAAATATTATTTAGTTATTAAATTGAATAATCCATAAAATTATATTTTATATTGGTATTACATAATTTCGTTATTATTTTTTTAAAATATAAAATTACTATTTAAAATATTCATATTATTTAAATAATACCATTACTTAAAAAATATTTATTATTTATTAAATTTAATACTCCATGAAATTATAATTTATACTATTATTACATAATTTCGTTATTTTAACTATTTAAAATTTAGTTATGTTAAATATTTTAACTATTATAGTTTAATACTATAACTATGTAATTTATTTTAACTATTATTACATATTTTAAATAATATGTAAAATATTTAATTTGTTTTGTTTTGTAAATTTTATTTCTTTAAAGTTGTTATGTAATTTTAAATATTTTATTACATTATTATTTTTCTATTTTTAATATATTGTTATTTAAATAATTTTTATTTATTTTTTTAAATATTATTTAGTTATTAAATTAATTGAATAATCAATAAAATTGTAGTTTATATTGTTATTACATAATTCCATTATTAATTTCGTAAAAATACAAAATTATTAACAATATAAATATTATTAAACCTATTATAGTTTTTTGTGTTTTTAATAAATATTTTAATTATTAACATAATTTCATTATAATACTTAAGTAATTGTAAAATGTTTTAATTGAAAATTTTTTTATATAGATATAGTTGAAAGGTGGTGGAGAGGATAAATAGGAATTAGAGATAATTGAGGAGATAACTAGGAATTAGGGAGTGATAGAGATAATTTAGGAGAAAGTGGGGGATCTTAATTTCCTAATAAAAATATAGGAAAAAATTGATAAGCCGTGTTAGGTGGCAACTCCTAATGCTTCTAGAGGGAATCTTGCACGCCCTCTAGAATTGTATAGTTTGGATAACAGAGCAAGGAGAGGACTGCTGACATGACAAGCTCTACTTTAGTAATAGTATATATATAAATTACTAAATTAGGCAATAGGTCCCATTTGACACCAATTCATTGGTTAAACATGGTACCTCATGGAAGGGCTGGATCCATGTATTGTATTGAACCTAGGCCCTTTCCAAATTTAGCAAATGTTCAGTCCAAGCCCAAGCCCAAGTTGCATTGCTATTTAGTAGGGAGAATGAAGATTCAGCCCAGGGTCAGAATTTTTAGGCCCAAAGTACAGTTGGGGTAGGTGCCGGCTCGGAATTGATGCCAATTCATGGGCATTGGTGCATAGAATGGGGGTATTTGACATTTCGAATGTTTATAGGTTTGGAGTGCAATTCAGAAATCTGTAATGGGCCTGTCCTTACTTTTCCGAAAATCAATCAAATTCTAGCGGTCTGTGATGTGATGATTAAACATGTAATTGGTACCCTTCTAGAACCTACCTGGCAACACCCAATCAAAATATGACTATCTGAACCTTGCACCTCCTCATTGTCCTAGGCCATCTGGATTTACCCTGTGCAGATTAAGACCAACCCTAATACGATAGGGGCGGATCAATGCAGATTTACCACCTAACCGATCCACTAACATCCCTAAACCCAAGGATTCGAAGACATCCCTTAGTAGGAATGGCAACGGGGAGGGGCGGAGACAGGGAGCCTCTCCTCGTCCCCGTCCCTACTAACGGGGACAAGGTTATCCCCATCCCCGCGGGGATCCTCATTCCCCGTGATTTTTTATAATGTAAACCATTTTGTTTTTGTTTTGTATTTTATTTAAAAATAAAAATAAAATAATTAAAATTTACAATCCTATTAGAAAAGATTCAAACATATTTTTAAAAATATTAATATATAGATGTATGTGTACATATATACATATATAACGTATGCATACGTATATACATATATATTAGTGGGGATCCCACAGGGTGGGGATCGGGGTCCCCGTGGGGCGGGGAGTGCTCTCCTCATCCCCACCCCGTGCCCGCTAATGGGGATGAAAATTTCCCCATCCGCGTCCCCACAGGGGGAAAATCATCCCCATCCCCACCCCATTCGGGGCGGATCTCCATGGGGATCAGGGAAATGGGGGAAATTGCCATCCCTATCGCTTAGGGCCTTTATTAGAGGTCAGTGTGGATTTTGGTTTTGATATTACATCTTTAGACGTTTACTCTCAACCAAAGGAAACAGATGGGGAAGAACTAGGGGTGAGCATGGGTCGGTTCAGTTCGGTTCCATGGCAGAACCTGGAATCTATCCTATAGCCCTATAGGGGTAACTCGGAATTAGGCGTGCAAATTGATCGGATCATAATCTGATCTGGTCCTATTTAGTCGAATTCGGATCACCCCTGTTTGGATCTTTGGGTCGGTTTGGATCGGATACTAGGATCCGATCAGAAGTCGACTAGATTCGAATCACCCCCTATATTTTGATAAATTTGTTATATTATTTATTTTTTTATAAAAAACATGTATATATATATATATATGATGAAAATAATTAAAAGAACACTTGTATTTTTGTTTTTACTTTATTTAAATTAGTAAATTTTACTTTCTTCTAATAATTTATTAATTTTTAAAGAAAACAAGTTGGATCAGATCAGATCCAAAGATCCGATTTACTAATAGACTTGAATTCAAATCAAGTCCTATCGAGATTCGATTGGGTCTTCGGATTGGATCAGATCCGACATGAATAGTGTCGGGTTGGATTCGAATATACCTCGATTCGAATCCGATCCAATCCGTTTACATCCCTACTTGGAACTAGAACCTACCTTGTGAAGGTTGGTTCTGACCTTGGCAGTTATGGGGTTGATTCTAGGGTTTACCCGTGGAACCTATTCTTTCTTCACTATCCCCCTTCAAAAAAAAAGCATGCTCTTTAAAAACTTGAATTTCAATAAATATAATATATAGTTTAAAACTTATAATATCTTTATTGATTAAATTGAGTAGTTTAATATGTAGATTATCATTATATGGTTCAAAACTTATAATTTAAATTTAAATTTTGTAAATATTACCTTTTACATTACTTATTGTACACATTCAAATATTAAAATGAAAACAAATGATCAAATCACTTACGTAACACAATAGTCAAGTGAGACCACGGCCTTTGTAACCATGAGTGCTTGGGTTCAAATCTTCACATCCCCAAAAGTATTTTGGGGTTTATTTCAAGGCAAGTTTGATTCCAAGGCAGGTTCCACCAAGGCCAACCAACACCGATTCATCAGGTCAGTTCAGGTAGGGTAAACCCTTGACATTGGAACCAGCCTAGGTGGGGATCAGTTCCAAGAATTTGGAACCAGACCCTACCCTGTAACAGATTGGATAGTGTCAGTTCAAGGCTGGTTCGAAGTCGGTTCCGGGTAGAACCTACCCATTTGCTCACCCCTAAGAAGAACTGTGATCCAGGCAAATCTAGACGAACATCAATCTATAGACACTCACATGCATTTAAGTAAACTCTTCAATGTATTCATGGTAATACATGGTGGAAAACCAACCTAAAAAAATTGGGTCGCCATTCCACACTCCTGTTTCGTTACAATGCCAACTCTTAATCACAAGGGAGAAAAATGCATCTATTATACACATTCTATCATAAGCCAGTTACTGATTACATTGTCTTCAAAGTGTAAGCATCTGAGTCCATCCACAAAACAGCAGATGGCCTTTCTCCGATGACCAACAGACTGCAACTGTTCTACATGCTGCACTTTGCCAATGAAGCATACTCCTATTCAAACCGTGAATATCTTCCTCACCTTCTTCATTCTCCTACGACAAATGGGACAAGTACCCACTTCCTCTGCAATCCTGCAGGGTTAACAGTAGATTCAGACACAATTGATCTTTTAACCATACTGATTTCTTGTAGAATAGAGATTGATGGTGGAAAAACAATGTTTAAGAACAAATTTTGCTTAGTAGAACACTAGTCAATTGATTCACTAAAGTCCTAATCAAGTTAGGTAGTTCAAGTATGGCCTTTTTGGCCTACTGAACCAGTAACTAAGACTCTTCCGGACTTAAAAGGTATCCTGAAGCCTGGACAATTTTCAGTTTTACTCTTTCTAAGTGGTGATAAAGGTATTCGTGTTCCAAACCAGGAAAAAATTGACATTTAATAGCTCAAATAGTCAACTGATACCAGAAGATAAATGTTTAAGAGTAAAATGTAGTTACCTTGTTCCACATGTGAAACATGCTGCACAGTGTCCACATGGAAGGAAGAAGCAGTCCCTTGGTGCATCAAAGCATATTGCACATAGACGCCGGGGATTATTATTGTTTTCCCCAGAGGAACCCACTCCAATCCATTCTTCAAGGTCATCCTCATCATGAGAGACTGAATCATAAGATGAACCCCAACTCAAGAGATCATCATCTTTGTTTGTGAGCAATGGTGCTCTCTCAGAATCCACCTGTACTGTCTGAAGCCCAGTCCCATCTCCAGTGGTGGATTGGAAATGGTTGCAGACTTTTAAGGCCACTAAGATTATCAAAGTCATTCCACCTGCATGCAAGAATTGTAAGAGACAAGAAAGGGGGGTTCACTGTGTGATCAAAATGGCAGTAGAAAATACCTGAGCCGACAAAATATGTGACCCATCGTGGTCCATATAACAGCTTGACGTACAAGTCATCAGTGTCTGTATCCTAAGGAACCAAAAAAAGTGCATATACATAAGCAAAAATAGACTTGATAATGGAAATAATATTCTCATTGGTCTTTTTTTTGTGATAAATTCTTTCTGGCAAATGATCTGCAATACATGAGATTCATAATCTTAAGACCACATCTAACCCTGTATTGGCATAAATATGGTCTTCAGAAAATCCAATGTTAAAAGATCATTTGTACATAAGAATGCCCTTTATTAAACCTTTGAAAGAAGAAAACTGAATCCAAGAAAAAAGATAAGATGCTACCTCCAATGTTACAGTATGAGCCCAAAATATGTCGTAACACAATGTAATCATTCTACCAAGGAAATCTAACCCAAAAGGAACTACTACCCGACCTACCTTGTGGCTTTCTAGCTCTAGAGAAAATTAATTAGATTGATTGGCCAAGAATATAGGATATTCCCATTAAGATGAAACCTCAACCTAGATCATCTCACTCAATTTTTAGCCCCAATTTCCCTGGATGTGTGCCACACATATGCAGCTGAGGCAGGGAGTACTGTTTGTTCCCATCTTCCCACATTATGCGAGTACTCCATGTTTGGTTATCTATCCCTAATGCACAAAATATTTTTTATTCAGAGACTAAACCTCGTGTGATAAACTACTAATAGCAAAAGTTTTTTAGCCAAGAAACTAGAATTTTAATCACATAGAACCAAAATGATGGACTGTTTTGAAGAAACACTCGAGAAATTTCAAATAAAGGAAATTAGGGAAACAAAATGTGACAGTTTTACCTGTTCTGCACCAGGAGAGGTGAGGACAGCAACATTGGCCCTAAAAAGGAAAAGCTTCAAACTACATAAACTGCGAGAAAGAGAACACTTGTAATATGCCTCTGTTGTATTATACACGAGAGCTCGTATAGTAATGTTCAAATGTACCTGTTAAACATATAGCTCATCATGAGTTCACAGTCTAAACAACTGAGCATAAAGCCATGGCATTGCACCTTAGGCTCAGTTTGGAAAGAGTACAAATACAAATATGTATAGCGTAAAGCCTTGTATTTGTATTATTCTGTATGTATTTTCACTGTACATATTTGTATTTGCACTCTTTCCAAACCGAGCCTTATGAACAATTTAAGAAACGGACGAGGCAAAGAGAAAATAATAAATTTAGTTATTCAAGATGAGGAAGTAAGCCTTTATGATTGGTGTGACGTTTATATATGCTCCTAAACAACAGTCAGCTTATATAACAACTACTACTTCTGCATCTGAGGTAAGGTATACTGGCTTTTGGACCGTTTTCCTGTCTATCTAGTCCATGAATCATAGAGATTGGATAATCTCATGATCCTAACCATTCAGTATTTGATTTTGGATTGTCACTAAAGCTGCATTCGTTTCCATGTAAAACGGGTGGAAAAGTTCTGGCTATAAAAGGGAAAAAAAATATAATTGAAAGTTTTACATATCTAAATTCAATACCTTTTACAAAGAAACAAAAGGAGACTAAAGTTACAGGTGAAAACCACAGAATAGAATCATAAAGATCAACTGAAAAGTTACGGATCAAAAAGAGGTATCCCACCAAGAAAATGGTTTAGGTCTTGGATTGACATCAATGTACTATTGGTGGTAGGTAATTGCATGATCCAACTGCCTTTACTCCATGTCTTTTTCCATCTATAATAAACTCAACATATGTTCATTGCAAAGTAAATAATTGTGGTAAAGCCGTCACATGAGCTTCTAACATTGTCATCAAAACTAACTATATCAATTCAATCTCCAGTTCTTATGCCATACTGCAATGCCTATACATATTTCATGTGGTACAGAAAACCTTTGTCAAAATATTTGTTGAAAGAAAAAGGTTGAGAGTTGTTTGTTTCAATGATAAGAGCATCTAGATAACTTCCACGAGGGAAGTTGAATTCCAAATGGCACAGTTCAACCATTTCAGAGAAATAAGATTTACATGTCTGACTCCGCACACTAGGGTTTGAAACTAGAAGTAAAACTATACCTATCAAAAAGAAGAGTCAGCAGTAAATTTAATGAACTTTGTCTGTCATTCGTCAAACTGAAACTGATATAACATGTAGAAAATGGGGACAACTAAAGGTTTCAAATGAAAATAATCAGTGTTTTGGATCCTGGAATGCATGTGATAGTTGAATTGTTTAGACCACCATATGGTCTTTGTAAACTGGGTAAACTACTCATAAAGAGGACCTAACCATTTTATTTTGTGAAACTACTCAAATCTGGTCAGTCAAATTATCAAGCTATTGAAAGTTACCATTTCCTATCAATATATATATATATATATATATATATATATATATATACATATCAAGCTATTGAATCCAGAAGTTTTTAAAATCAAATCAATATGGTCCATGCAGGAGTAATTTCCATTGACCGATTTTATCCGCAGTTCCCAATTAAGAAACCTTTAGAAGTACTATTGAGAAAAAATGCATTTCTTCCCAGTTTATGCAACTTTGTCTAACTAGAGAAGTTTGTATTTCCTCCCAGTTTATGTTACTTTGTCTAATTAGAGAAGTTTGTATTTCCTCCCAGTTTATGTTACTTTTTCTAATTAGAGAAGTACTAAGGTATTTTTCTGCTGCTGCTTCTGTTGTTAAGAATAGGCCTAGGTTCTACTGGAAAAATATGAGAAATCAGAGGAAGATTGACTAAATTCAGTGAAGAATATCAATGATTATCATTGCTATCATTCCAAACCTATTGTTCTTAGTCCTACTCACCAAGATTCATATCCATCATTCTAAACAATCCTTTCCATTTTTTTATTTTATGATGTATAGATCACAAGCTGGTGCTTGAGAAGACTAGGACAGGTTTAAGAAGGCGGGGTTTGAAGCTGAAAAATACAGGTGCAACTTGGGTATCCAATTTGAAGATTTTCCACTGCATCACAGATCATGTCAAGGCCCTTTCAAAATTTTACACGTTCAACCTTAGCCCACTCAAGTTGACCCCTACTGTATAACGCTTCTTGTTATGGATGGACCGATGGACTGTTTTGGAAGTAAATCAGTTTCCTTTTTCTTTTTTCTTTTTTCTTTTTTTTTTTCTTTTTTGCAGTTTTTATTTGTTAGAAGATGTTTGTTTTCTTTTATCTATTTTATAAGCCACACATGTATACCCCAGAGATATCTGGGTTTACCTGGATAAACATGATTAATGTGCACTCAGAATTCACATAAGGACAAATATGGCATTTCAGTTACCAAGCCTCTCTTCCTTTCAATTAGGAAAATAGTAAAAAATATTTTTGGTAATGGTGGAATTCACATAACCAGAAATCTAAATTTCTTGATTAATTAATAAATGGCTTATTTGAAGCAACGCAAACCAGTTGAATCAACAGAAAGAAATGGAACAGTAGTAAATAATGTCATTATTACCTCCACCTCCTCTGAATTCAGGTTACCCACTGCAATGTAGTAATCATATGACTTGAAAATTTTCTGTTTGATCATTCCTTTTCCTGTGAAGGTATATTTAATGCATTTAATACAGTACTACCATGGAGAGAATATATAGTCTAGTTTCAATCTTACCATAAATGATATTCCATGACAAGGTAGTATTGGGATATGATGGCTCTTCAATCCATTCAACCAAGCTTTCTTTACCTGCATGCCAACTCCAAAATTAAGAGAAAAGACAAAAACATAGAAAAACAGATAAAGACGCATTTATAGAAAAAGAAATCCAAATCCAACATCCTCCACAATTTTAATGTTTAAAGGTAAATAAGAATTGGTAATTCATGGTTGTCTTTGCTGCAAAAGAATTTTTTTCTTATGCCCAATGTCTTGATAAGGTGTAGTAGTGCAAATTGCTGTATCTCCCATGCATGTTTAGACCAGCATTTCTCAGTGGACTGACTAGTAATAATGATAAATGCAGTGTGGGTTGACCCTGGAAGTAGAGTTCCTTATAGAAAAATTTACAGCTTATCATATCTATTTAGGGGTTTTTGCAGCAAGAGAATCACAGAGATAGAGCGGCTTCAGTATGACTTGGTTGCAATGCCCCATCAATTGAAATTGGGTGATACAGTGTGAGCATATTAATCTCACAACAGAAGATTTGTCGCTATGATTTATGCCCAAATAAGGAGGTGGAGTGGTGCTGTTGTGGTCTTTGCATAGGGAAGGAGTCCATTATTATAATAAAGTAACAAATGGGATGGCAAAGGAAATAGAATGTGCATTAAGGTCTAGGCCTCAGAACCTTAAGTCATGGTTCACTAATCCTAGACAGAAGCATCTATTAAACCAACCCCTCTTGAAGCCTCTTTCAATGTTCACTTGATTCATAGTGTCTGACTCGGAAGAAAATTTCCCACAAGGCAGTCAAAAACAAATATGCAGAAGTTTTTGTGTGACAGTCATGCATAATTAGGACAAGTTGGGCAAACAAATTTCAGGTATGAACTCTGCTAGGCTTTTATAACTGAAAAAACTGACTGATACAACATATGCCAAAGATAGTGCCAACTTAATAGCACTCTATCAAGGCATACTTGCAGATGAGGGATTTGGTGTGGGTATTCATTCCTGACTTAAGCAGTACTTATTTGAGAGTTAGCAATAGCTAAGAATAAATTGTGTTTACTGAAGTGTTGATTAATTTGTGAAACTATCATTAAGGGACTGGCCGGAGGTGTTAACTTACCTTTTGCAATTATAAGGGATAAAGGGGAGGAGCTCTGAGATTTGACACTGTAAACAATATCCAGTTGAGATCCTTCATTCAGGAAATATATCCACTCCTGTATAACAAGTAGAAATTAAGCCTACCTCATCAATCATAGAGCCTAGAGCTTCAGGAGCAAACTTAAATCATATTCAGGGAATGGAGGAAAAAAAAAGGAGACAGAACCGACGAGAGAACATGAATTTTAACTGGGTTGAAGTTTTATAGTTCCAAAATTAAAAAGTACAGGAAAAAAAAAAACAAAGGTGCATGGGGAAAAGTCTCTTGCCTTGTGGGAATTAGCTGGAATAGAAGCGTTATGGATTTCAAACCAAGTCATCTCAACATCAAGAGGAGGTTTTTTTGTAAACCCATATAGGATAGGCCCAAGCTTTGGTTCTCCTAATTCTTGCACCTGGAAATAAAACCAAGTCAATCTTCAGAAAAACAATGTTAAGTTCCAATACGAAAGAATTGAACGAGACGGGAGTAATTCGGGAAATTACCTTGATATCCTGCACAAAGATCGAATTGGCTTGCAATAGACGGGAGTAATTCGGGCCCAATTGTAAATTAACGGATCCATAAAATCCAAGTATCAGAGTCATGGATGCTGCTGATGATGAACATTGGAAATCAACAGCGAAACTAAACCAAATCAAACGATAACCCAAATCGAGCTTAAGCCCAATTACATTTAAGTTTTCAGACATGGACAAGAAATCAAAGAGAAGAAAACGAACCGAAGAACCAAAAGGTAACAAGCACGATGAGGCAAGACCAGGCATCATCCCTCATCTGGGTCGAGGCCACATCGGATATTGAAATGTTGACACGATAAGTGACTCTAGTCTGCCGCTGCTGGTCTTGCTCTTGATGGGTCTGATGGTCTTCTTCTTGAACCTGCAAAGAAGACGAAGGCGGCAAAGACGAGGACGATGACAAGGAAGCAGATTCTTGAGGATCCCCATGGAATGAAGTAGAAGTAGAAGGAGAAGAAGAAGGGATAGGGACATAACATTCTTGCCCGTCCATCCTGCCAAAAACAGTATGAGAGATGGAGAGAGGAATTAAGAAGGGGAGAGAAGGAGATAAGAGCAGGGCAACATGTGAGACTTAATACTCTAGCTCACCTCGAAGAGTTCGATGCAGAGTAGCAGTTATTGTAGAAGAACCAAGGATGGAGGTTGAGATACAGTGAGCTACACCAAGCAGTCCTCCCATGCTCCTCATTCTTCTTGAGACTGGTAGTTGGGTTTCGAGTTTCGACGGTTAGTTGGATATCCCGCTTCTCAACTGCTCAGCATTCAACTTCAACCCACTCTTGTCTGAATTCTCTGTTTCTGATTCCAAGTTTTTAATTCTGGCGGCACGCATGAGGAGAAACTCTCCTATTGTTGGATTTTTGTCTCTTATCTATGCCGTCCGGACTCCGGACTGCTATTTTGTGTTGAATCTTGAATTAAAATGATAATTAATAATTCCAATCCAAGGGTGAGGAACAGGGGTGCAACTTGGGCGGGCCTAACCCAAGCCAAACCCGGCCCAACCAGAGTTTCTAAGGTTGGTCCAACTCAAGTCAGACCCAACCCTATGACCTGGACCTAAGGCCTCAGCCTGGACCAAGCCCAATCTGGCCAACTTGAGCCTAGTTTAAACTAAAATTGGTGTACTTCAGTTGGGCTTGAGTTGGTCAGCAGGGCTCAGGTGGGCCTATTACTCTATTAGGCCCAATGTATTAAAAAATGCCCTAAACCTATTTAGCACTAATAATTAAAAATGTTAAAAAGAAAAGAAAAGAAAAAAAGAAATTTGTACATTCTTTATACATACAAGTGCTACTAGATTCCCTCCAAGCAAAAACTCTACACAAATTCTCAAATCATGAAAATCTAGTTGCACATTGGGAACATCTCTTTACCAAGGATATTCTCAATGTGTTCAAAATGCCATATGTGCAAAGTTTCTACTTGCACCAGATTCAGGCTCCATGCAAGCATGCAATTGCATATGTATATATATATATATGTATGCATATATGTATACATAGTTGAGCTGGGTTCAAGCTGAACTTGGGTTTGGCCAAACTTGAGCTACCTAAAGGCCAGGCCCTCGCCCAACCTCAAAATTTTTCAGTTGAATCCATTTGGTCTTGGGTTGAGACCATTCCAAGCATATTTCTTAACCTAACACTAACACCCTAGAAAATGGTAGCTATAATTGTAGATGGTATAATTGCTATATAAGTAGAAAACCAACCGACATCAAGAGATAAAAGCTAGGGGTGCTCAGAGTTCAGCTAACCGAACCAAGTTCTATTTTTTGAAACAGAACTGGTACCACCGGTTTTTGAAAAATCATGAACCAAAATCAATTAGTTAATCAATTAATCAATTTGGTTTTTGACAATTTCAGTTCTTCGATTTCTCTTTTTTTTTCATATTTTCAATATATTATAAATACTACAAATATATATAATTTATAATTTATTTAATCTATTATAAATAAATAATTAAAAATACAATATATTTTTATATTTATATTTATATATAAACTGCTAGTTTTTGTTTTAGGTTAACTTAAAAACCCAAATAGATTTTTGGTTTGGTTCGTTTTTGTTGAGCACCCCTAATAAAAACTAAAAGTGGTCAAAATTTTATTGTTCCAATTTTTTCTGTGGAACTTCCTTGGAAATAAAGTACATAAAAGATGCTATAACCATTTATTATATATCCCTTACCTTGGATACTTTTTATCTAAGAATAAGAAGAATTATGGAGAAATATGGACAGGCCCAGTGTAGATTTTTTATTTCTACTACAGAATTATAAATATTTAAAATGTCAATTATACACATTCTATGCATCAAGGCAGCCCATAAATTGATATCAATTCTGAACTGACACCTATCCTAACAGTACTTTAAACCTCCAAATTCTGGCCCTGAGATGAACCGTCTTTCCCTTATGACTTCCCGCTGCTTTGTTTAAAAGGATAAGAAGGATCGGATTTCTGAAATAGACAGAGGAGAGGACCTTAGTCAGACGATCAGTTCAACAACCTTTCCACGAGTTTGGACAAATGATGCACGCAACACAAACTGGATGAGTAAAAATTGGACCACTTGTTTTATCTTGCATTAATTGGAGGATGGATGGTACCTCACTCACTTTTACTTTGATGACTTGGATCAACAGTTTTGTACCCACCACTTGGATGCCCAAATTAATCTTTCAGTTTTACAGTTTCATTTGATCAATTTTGCATCCACAATTAGATTTTGGGATACCATCTTAATGGTTCAAATCAATTATTGTTGGGAGGGAATGGGACCCATCTGTTTTGGCAACTAAGGGACCCACTTGAAAATGACAAGATGTTTCAAATAAGTTGTGTAAATTCTAGTTATAATAATATTAAAAAACATAACCAGTTTATATGGTTATCAGTGCTGAGCATTTTGGGGAAATTCTCGATTATTATCCTGTACTTTGGCCCAGTGCCACTCTTAAATTTTAAAACGTGATAGTTTAGTATTTGAATTTTTAAAATGTGTTAATTTAGTATTTATCGTTAATCAGCCATTAAGTGATATTTTAAAAGATATAAATATTCTTTGAAAGTCATATAATTTTCTTTATCAACCATCTACATGTTCATAAAAATGAATAGTCTCAAATCTTTACCTTTTCTATTCAACAAAGTTGGGGTTACGTCTCAGTGAGCATTCTAGTGACTCCAACTTTCTTGAACAGAAGAGGCAAGGATTTGGGACTGTTCATTTTTTGTCAATGTTTGGATGGTTGATAAAGAGAATTAAATGACACTCGAAGGGTATTTGCGTCTTTTCAAATGGCACTTAATGGCTAGTTAACGGGCTGGTTAATGGCAGGTATTAGATTGACACGTTTTGAAAGTTTGGGTACTAAGGGAGTGTTCTGTAGTGTGGATGAGAAATTGGTGGGTGTGGGCTGGTCCACACCACACCATAGTCCACAGCTATTCTGAATTGTGGACAAATTGTGTGGACTAGACCAGTCCACACCCACAGTGGCATTCTGTAGGCATCCCATGGTGTGGACCAGTCGACACCACACTTTTTGATTCTATGTATCGCATATATATTTATGAATGATCTACACCAACATTTTAAAAAACGACATGGAAATGGAACCGTTCTGGCCATCGGTTTCCGGGTCGATGGTCTGACTATTCGATTCGAATGGACGGGTCGTTCTAACAAACAAATTAAAAATAATAACAGTAAAAACTGTTGAATGGGTCGATGGTTTGGCTGCTCGAGTCAACGGGTTGTTGACTTTTTCAACGGTTTTTGGCCAAAAATCGGGTTTGGGGTAAAACGGAACCGCTTGCCTAGACAGTTCCCAGGCTGAATAGTCCGACCGTCCGAGTCAACGGCAGTTCCAAAACCTTGATCTACACAGTTAATCATAAATATCTGATTTTTGCATTTTATATGATAAATATATTGAAAAATGCATCAATGAATTAATATTAACCAATAAATATTAATTTTTTTTTATAAAAAAAGTAAAATAATAAAAAATTAAATATATATATATATTTAAAATATAATTTTATTGATAAAATAATAAAATTTAAAAAAATTACAAGTAAATAAAATAATTAATATTTTATTGACAAAAATATTAATGTGAAACAGACAATAGGGTAGCCTTTCAAGGAAAGTGTGAAGTAGGGAATCAAAAATCAAGTATAAACGGTCCCCAACCACGAGATTTTACCGTGGATGAAAAACTGGGGTGTGGACGGGACCTGTCCATGCTATATTGGAGTGTGGACAGGACCGGTCCCGTCCACACCCAGCCGAATGCGACCAAATCCCGTGGATGGGACCAAGATTTACGCAGTTTCGAACACCGCCTAAATTGTCGTGTTTTAAAGTTCGAGGACCAAAGCGGCACTAGACCCAAAGTACAGGGTATTAATCTGGAATTTTCCCTATTTACGAGTATGTATGGAGTCTCGATCTGCTCCTCACACCGACCTTCCGTACTTGTACCTTATGTTCCCAACATGGACATGGTGGGACGTGGCTGTGAGGTGGGTGTGAGTCCGAATATGCTCCGCACAGAATGCGAGTTACACTCACCTCACAGCATGTCCTAGCCATACGTCAAGAATATCTTTTGTATTTTTAAAGATCAAATAAAATAATACATATAATAAAAATATTATAGTTCTTAATTTTTAAATATCAAATAAAAAAAATTATATAAATGTTTATTTTTATAAAACCTTTTTTTCTCAAATCAAGCTCGATCGAGCTTGAGTTTTTTACTCGAGCCGAGCTTGAGCTCAATGTTCTAGCTCAAACCAAGCTCAAGCTCAAACTCGAGCCTTGTACATAGGGTGTCCACGATTAGGTTAATCGAACCGGTGGTACCGGTTTTTTCATTTCTCCAAACTGAAATTGAATCGGTACCACCGATCTGCCAATTTCGGTTTTTGACCGGTTCGATTTTTTGGTTTTTATATTTATAATATATATTATATAAATACATGTATAATATTATATTAAAAATAATAAATGATATAATATATATAATATATTATAAATATATATAATATATTTATAAATAGATCATTATAAATATAATATAAGTATATATTTATATATAATATATAGAAAATATGTGGCATATATTAAAAATATATATAATATACATATAAATATATATACCGGTCGGTTCAGTTAACTACCGGTTTTTTTGTAGGTTAACCAAAAACCAAACCGGTCCTTTGGTTTTTCAAAAATTCCAAACTAAAACCAAACCTATCAGTTTGGTTAACCGCATTTTATGGTTCGGTTTTTCGGTTTTTCAGTTTTTCATGGACACCCCTACTTGTACAATCTTGGTGAGCCGAGCTCGAGCCTCGTACTATTTGGCTCGGCTCAAATCCACCCCTATTTATTATTCATGGGGAGATATTCCCAATATAGGGTGGGATGTGGCAGTGAGGTTGGTGTGAGGTTCGCTCTCTAACTTATTTGTAAGCTCCATGAAGCTCAGCTTGCAGAATATTCAAACTAGATTTACAAATAATTGAGTTTGAGTGGAGTTCAAGCTTCGTAAATCTTATCAAGTATATAATAGAATATTAATTGTTTAATATATTTTTATTTATAATATAAATAGGTATTAATTTTTAAATTAATTTATTATTCATTCATAATCAAGTTTATTTTTAATTTAATTTATTTATAATTTTCTTGGATTTTTGGTCCTTGAGTTGGGCTTAGGCCTCACCCTTG